CTCCCAGCTCCCAGTCCGCCACCCTAACCACTACACCACAGAGGCTCTCTAGTGATGATAACGCACGTCTCTCTCTTTCCCTTTCTGCAGTTCATCCAGTGTGTGATGAGCATCTAATTCAAGATGAAGGAAGAAACGGGCGAGCATGAGCCACATTCCAATTTGTTTTTGCTTTGCACCAAAAAAAAAAAAAAAAAAGTTATCATGGCTGTGTAACTAAATAGTGGTATTTGCCTATTTTATAAATATTGATTTATATGCTTTTTATAGTTTTGATAACTAACAAAACACAATAAATCCTGTTTTGGAGTTGATTTGTCTAGCATATTTATAATTTTGCTTGATACGGACTTTTTAAAAAGTTGACTCTGTTTTTTTCTTTCTTTTTACCATCTCTTGTACTGTTTTTTAAACTATTCATATTGGAACATACTCTTTGTACCTGTGCTATATAGAGACCGGCCAGAGGAGAGGAATTGTGTGAAAACAAATGCAGAAAGCGTCAGTGGAAGCTGCCTGCGAGTCTTGGAATAAAGCGATCAAGGTCTTGCTTCTAAAAAAAGAATGTTCTGCTTGCCCTTCTGATATTTATCATATTTTCTAAATGCAGGAAATATTCACTCATGATTGGTCCAGCTAATTGTGCCAAGCTGCATATTATGAATTAAAGAGTTTTCTGACGTAAGAGAGTGCTTAGGTCTTTCGCTCCCTCTTCCTGCTACCTTGTAAACATAAAACTTCCCTTGTTTTCCTGTGCTAAAAAGCCATGCATAAAAAAGTTAGATACAAGGCTATAATCTCGTCAAGATTTGGGGGGGAACCTTGAATGAATGCCTTACATTCTTCTGTAGGAAAGGATTTTATTTCACTGCTCCACGGAAACACAACTGCTGTGTTGTGCTCCTTACTTCCCATGCGCTTGCAGCTTCGTTAAAATGAAGTTATTTGCCGAACGTTGTTTGGCGTACCTTATTTTGCTTAAATATTCTGGTTGCTTGTGCATGGAATGTGCTCATTCACAATTATGCTAGGAAGTGGAGTATGGTAGCAATCTTATTTAATTGCAGGAAGTATTCTTTAATCTTGATGAATGGAGTAAAACATTTCTGCTTTTTAGGTGCCCGCTGAAGTTTAGGTGCTGGAGAAAGGGTTAAAATGGGCAGCCCCCTGGCCTTTGACATCTGCACGAAGGAAGGAAGGAAGGAAGGAAGGAAGGAAGGAAGGAAGGAAGGAAGGAAAGGAAAGGGGTTGGGTTAGCTACATTCTTAGAGCTTCAGACTTCTAGGTGTGTTCTCTGGATTGACAGCTGGGAACCCTGCAAAAATGTGAAAGATAATCCATGTTCTCGGTTGTGTGCTTAGTATGTTAGGCAACGCTAATTTACTCGATTAGCTTTATCACAGCTTGGTGGTATAATCCAACAGCATACTGTCAGGGAGTTAGTACCGAACAAAACTGGGTGTGCCGAGTAATGCCAGGATTAGTTGCAATCGAGGAATCTGAAGTTCCAGTCTCCCTATCAACAAAAGATAATTCTAACCTGTTGGCATTCTGGGCGCTGCTTTCCCCTAAGCTGGAAAATAAAACTGAGCATCACTTTCTAGGCAAGTGAATCTGTCTGCCCTAAATCTCCTGTTCGTATTTAAAAGATTCCGTGTCAAGATTTCAGGAACCACCCTGAGCAGGAATAGAGGAACGGAAACTCTCTACTTTGCGTGAAAGGGGTTCCAACTGCCTGAACATATGAGAACTCTTTTATCAGTTCCTTTATGTTCCTTTAATCGCATTCAAACCTAACCACAAAGCAGTCATAGCTGGACTTTCTATATGTGTAAAATCCTTTGCTTCCTTGCTAGCAAGGAGCACAGTGGCTGATGAGCAGGTTGAGAAATGCTAGAATGTTTTATTTTGCTAGACAGATTCCGTGACTAACGCATGATATGGAAGTTAAGGCTGTGCAGCTTCTGTTTGGTAGCCTTTCTCTGAATCTAGTTTAGGCTGTTCTGAAACTACGTTGACCATGAATTATCCCAAGTAATGCCGTCTTGCATCAGTCTAGGTAAAATGTTGATCTGCCACTGTTCAAAGTGTAAGAAGAAAAAAAATATAAAATGTTTGTACTGCATTATCTGTACTACTATCAGTAATTATATTAATAAATTACGGTGAACAAAGTTTGACAGTAACAAGCTATTCCGTTATCCCAACCTCTGCAAAAACACGCAGTTCCTTGTAGAGATTTCCCAAAACCTCAAGATTGCACGAGCTGAATTTCCGTTGCATTTTTAAAGTGTGGTTTTTGATTTAAGAACGTAAGAAGCTGCTGGGTGAGGCCAATGGCTCATCCAGTCCTGTTCTCAAAGAGGTGAGCCAGAGGTCCTAATGGGAAACCTGCAAGCAAAAACATTGAGCACAAGGGTCTTCTCTGTTCATGTAGTTTTCAGCAACTGTGCTCAGCCTACGAGCAGCCCAGCAAAGCTCTTTGACACCTGGCTTGCAGGTAACTGGTTTGATTTATGCAAATATATAAAAGGATGTCACATAGAGGAGGGGAAAGGCTGTTTTTCTGCTGCTCCAGAGAAGCGGACACGGAGCAATGATCCAAACTCAAGAAAAGAAGATCCACCTCAATTAGGAGAACTTCCTGCCAGTAAGAGCTGTTCGAGAGTGGAATTTGCTGCCAAGGAGTGTGGTGGAGTCTCCTTCTTTGGAGGTCTTTAAGGCAGGAGGCTTGACAACCATATGTCAAGGAGTGCTCTGATGGTGTTTCCTGCTTGGCAGGGGGTTGGACTCGATGGCCCTTGTGGTCTCTTCCAACTCTATGATTCTATGATTCTATGATTCTTTGGTACCTTAGAGAGTTGTCTGCTTTCAGCCTCATGTGTCAAAAGTTGGGAAAGCCTCTAAGGGATTCTTCCAATGCACCTGTCGCCTAGGTTAGGATTATTATTATTATTATTATTATTATTTATTTTATTATTATTATTATTATTATTATTATTTTATTATTAAATTTATTTATACCCCGCCCTCCCCAACCAGAGCCGGGCTCAGAGCGGCTAACAACAGTAAAATGATAAAACATTGTAAAATCATTTCATTATAAAATTAATTCCAATCAAATTAATGGCAACCATTGGGCTAGAAGTTCTGTGAGGATTAGAATGTAGTTTCTGTGTTTCGTTGTTTGGGGGGGTGCATATACCGTATTGGCCTGAAAATAAGTCGCACCTTTAAAATTGGGGGGGGGGGGGAGAAAAAAATGTAAAAATACCCGAATATAAGCCGCTCCTTTCCTCGCTGTTTTTAACTTTTCACGGTCAGAATTGGGGGGGAAAGTGAGGCTTATATTCAGGCCAATATGGTAGATTAAACCTTTTAGAGACTGACTAAAGTATTAAGCAGCGTATAAATACGCAGAGTCAATTGGGGCAATAAGCGTTACATGCCCTTTGGAACGAAGATACAGTGGTACCTCGCAAGACGAATGCCTCGCAAGACAAAAAACTCGCTGGACGAAAGGGTTTTTTGTTTTTTGAGCTGCTTCGCAAGACGATTTTCCCTATGGGCTTGCTTCGCAAGACGGAAACGTCTTGCAAGTTTGTTTCCTTTTTCTTAACACCGTTAATACAGTTGCGACTTGACTTCGAGGAGCAACTCATAGAACGCGGTGTGGTAGCCTTTTTTGAGGTTTTTAAAGACTTTGGTGATTTTTGAAGCTTTTCCAAAACTTTCCCGACACCGTGCTTCGCAAGACGAAAAAAACCGCAAGACGACAAAACTCGCGGAACGAATTAATTTCGTCTTGTGAGGCACCACTGTAGGCACAAACATTAAGAATGGGAAAATGGAAACACTAGGGGCATTCAAGTAGCCTGGAGTACGCCCAGGACCAGAAGAAACAGGAGAAGAGAACCTGAATGCAGACAAGAAGCATGAAGTGATATCCTAACAAGCTGGAAGGTAAGCAGCAAACGGTTGTTTACTGTGCTCTAAATCCACAAAGTCCCATTGGCCTTATTCTGTTTCTTCATCCCCAACTCAGACACCACCTTTGGGCAGGCCAGGCTTCCTTAAACTCGGCCCTCCAGATGTTTTGAGACTACAATTCCCATCATCCCTGGCCACTGGTCCTGCTAGCTAGGGATCATGGGAGTTGTATTTTTTAAAGTTATGTTTTATTATCACATTTTTGTATTGCATTAGATTGTTATAAGATGTACATTTTTTGTTTCTTCAGCTTGTAAACTGCCTTTGAGTATTGTAATATAGAAAGACGGTATACAAATTAAAAATGATGATGATGTAGGCCCAAAACATCTGGAGGGCCAAGGTTGAGGACGCCTGGTGCAGAGCATGTGATTACGCACCAATGACGGAGAAATACTGATGTGGCTTTATAGCAAAATATCCTCCGACTACATCCTTTAAAAAACAACAACACCCCTTTAATATGAAATGCTACAAGTTGCACCTTACACTGCTCCAACCGTCTTGTGCTGCTCTCTGAGCAAACTAAACCAAAATCATTTTTTCATTCAAAGCTGCACATAATTGTCATGTGCCTTGTGCAATTTTCACACCCACACCCCAATTTTTTTTTCTTTTTTCTTTTATGGAATTACCACAAATCAAGCGGCAGTTCCTACAAAATTATATCCTTGGGGTTTATTTGGGGGGGGGGGGAATCTTATTAAAAGTGATACAAGTTCAAATATGATAAAAATTACTGCAAGGAAACCGTTTTGGCAAGTATTGTTGGATTTCCTCTTCCTGTTTAGGAATGCTTACTGCAGAAGCTTCATTAAGCAAGATCGTGACCACTGCAACTCTTCTCACAAAACAGGTTCAAGGGTTGTTCAGAATAGTACAAGACTTGGATATAAAGTCAAGGTTCCTACTGATTATATACACATTTTTTCAGTCCTTCAAAACAGATCGTTCATGAACAAGGTGTACGTTAAAGTGAAACTACTAATTACAACTTGCGGAAGTAAACATAAATAGCAAAAGTACATACTTTATTTATTTATTATTTGTTTTTAAATCCCGAGGTCCCAAGAACTTTCTGTACAAGCTATATGCAAGAGATTTTTGTCTTTCCCGAAATTAAAATAACGCAGTGTTCGCCGAAGCTGGGAAACTTCGAATTCCTGACAATACTACGCCTTGATTAGAACAAGAAATAATAAATCTCTCCCCTTCCTTGGTTGCAATGGAATAAAAGCACAAGTTGTGTCTTGGCAACCATTAAAATGTTCTGCTGATCTTTCATGTATCTCAGCTTCAAGCCTAGAGAGGTTTTCTCTCAACTTTTGGGGTTCTAAAGGCATTTTCTTTTGCAGAGAAAATGGCGGAGAGAGAAAGAAAGAAAATAATAAATGTGCTCTTAATCACCACTGGTATTTAAAATGGGTATCTGTAAGCTGTGCAAGGAGACAGGCTGATTGGTAACATGTCAAAGGTTGTTCTCTTAAAATGTATGTCTACTTAAAGGCTATAGCGAACAAATACCAGCTGGATCTTCACCCAAGTGATGTGGTTTAAAGTAAGGAGCCAGACACTTCGTTGCATTAAGTTTTCCCCCCAATCTGTACTGAGGGAGAGAAGAGAACGCATGATGCAAAAAGGGAATCGCCAGAGTTCCTTTCTGTGTGGTTCACTGTTGCCAGATTTAGCCATACATTGAATATTGAGGATTACTTGGCGATGTTCTAATCTAGGGCTGCTCCAGGCAGAAGGGAATACACTGGAAGATAAATAAAGGTGATTAACAACGGCATTACGTACACTGATTTTGAAGTTTGGCTGCCACCTGAAGGAAATGCTAACCTCCCATGCCCTCGTATAAGGCTAAGAACTTGAAAGGCAAGGGAGAGTGTCAGCGCACTCGTTGCTTATGGCAAACACCTGCACCTCAGGCAAAGGAAATCACTGGTTCAGTCAACTCAGATCACGCCGCGTTTAAAAAATGTAATCATTGGTGATTTTTAATGAAGGCATAGCTTCGTTGACATTTTGATCCAAACGATGGTATCCGACAGTCCTGGAGCAAAGCCCATCTCGCCATCTTCTGCTCTGGACCAAGAGGATAATCTAGAGAGAAAAGAAACAATTAACTAACGATAAAGAAACGAGGATAGGGTTCAAGGGAAAACGCTTTCTGCTTTGTCAACGTTTGCAAGTCATCACAACCATTTCCTTCACTAATTAGTTTTCGGGTCCAATTCAAAGTGCTGGTTTTGACCTATAAAGACTTAAATACTTCAAAGACTGCATCTTCCCATATGAATCGACCCAGACCCTGAGATCATCTTCCGATGCCCTTCTTCCTGTACCTCCTCTGCGAGGTCTGGAGGGTGGCTGCATAAAAAGGGCCTTTTCTGCAGTGGCTCCCCACTTGCAGAATGCTTTTCCCAGGGAGTCTCGCCTGTTGCCTTCACTGCATATCTTTAGTCACCAGCAGAAAATATAACTCTTCTCCCAAGCCTTTGCCCGATTAAACAATATAGCCTTCCAAACTGTGGGGTGGTTTTATTGGTTAGGGTTTTTTTTTTTTAGTTTGCTGTTATTATGCTTTCATTTTGCATTTTTATATTGTCAACTGCCCTGTGTTCTTCGGATGAAAGGATGTATTCAAGTTTAAAAGACAGTGTCATCCATCATATGTCTTCTCACATTGTGATTCTATATTATAAGTCCACTGAAGACCAGGGAGGGGAGGGATAAATGTAATGAACACACATCAATTCCATCCCAGGGTATGGGGGAAATGTTTACATTCCTTGGAATATTAAGCTTAAAAAGCTACACCATAATTTTATGACTTAGAAGAGTACCGTATTTTTCGCTCCATAAGACACACTTTTTTCCTCCTAAAAAGTAAGGGGAAATGTGTGTGCATCTTATGGAGCGAAGGCAGGCGGGAAAAGCCCCCAGGAGCTGCACTCACGCTCCGCACGCTCTTTAAAGGGAGCGCGGCTCTTGCAGGCTTTTCCCTGAGGAGGGAGAAGGGCAGCCATCACCGACGGGCTATCCTTCTCCCACCTCGTAGAAAATCCCACAGAAGCCGTGCTCCCTTTAAAAGAGCGTGCGGCTCTTGCTGGCTTGTGCAGGAGGTGGAGCGTGTGTGCGGCTCTTGGGGGCTTTTCCCCAAGGAGGGAGAAGGGACTGACGTGGCCCGTCAGTCCCTTCTCCCTCCTGGGGAAAAGCCCCCAAGAGCCGCACACACGCTCCACATGGCTCATGAAAGGGAGCGCTGAGCAGATCCTGGGATGCATACAGGCTCTGCTCAGCGCTCCCTTTAAATAATCCCCCCCCCCTGCTTTCCCCCTCTAAAAACCAGGCGCATCTTATGGTCAGGTGCGTCTTACGGAGCGAAAAATACGGTAACTGTACAGTGGTACCCTGGGTTAAGTACTTAATTTGTTCCGGAGGTTCATTCTTAACCTGAAACTATTCTTAACCTGAAGCACCACTTTAGCTAATGGAGCCTCCCACTGCTGCCCACGCGATTTCTGTTCTCATCCTGAAGCCAAGTTCTTAACCTGAAGCACTATTTCTGGGTTAGCGGAGTCTGTAACCTGAAGCGTATGTAACCCGAGGTACCACTGTATTGTAGGGCACCGACTCCTGAGAGTGGTTTATTATTTTTACTTAATTCTTCTCCACTTAAAACGGTCAAATCTGTTTTGCTGACATTTGTAAAACGTCTCAGGAATGTCACACCTGAAAGTAGAGGCTTTCAACCTTTTTCAGTACATGGCTCCCTTGACCCACTGCATTTTCTGTGGCACCCCTGTGGGGGCCAGGAGCCCAGTTAGGTCACCCCTTGCCTGCAGAGCCAGCAGCCACTCACCCTTTTCCAAACACCCTCTCTCGTGGAGGGTTCCCTCAGCCTCCTCTCCTCTCCCCAAACTTTGGGAATCCTCTGGGCAGCCACGGCTGTCGCCCCTGGTTTCTGAGCTGCCCCCTCTGCCCCAAAGAGGGGTGCCTTCTCACACTGCCCCACAGGGGCCTGGGAAGCACCCCCTGGCCAGCCACAGAGACACCTTTCACCTGCGGAGCTTGTAGCCAGGGCTGCTGCAGCAAACAGGTGTGCAAGCCTTTGGGAGGAAGGCACAAGAGGGCATCAGAGGAGAGCCTTTGGCACCCTAGTTGAAAACAACTGCCATAAAGGGTTGTCTATGGACAGATTTTAAGGGACGCGGGTGGCGCTGTGGGTTAAATCAGAGCCTAGGACTTGCCGATCAGAAGGTCAGCGGTTTCAAATCCCCGCGATGGGGTGAGCTCCTGTTGCTCCTGCCAACCTAGCAGTTTGAAAGCACGTCAAAGTGCAAGTAGATAAATAGGTACTGCTCCGGCAGGAAGGTAAACGGCGTTTCTGTGCGCAGCTCTGGTTCGCCAGAAGCGGCTTAGTCATGCTGGCCACACGACCCAGGAAGCTGTACGTCGGCACCCTCGGCCAATAAAGCGAGATAAGCGCCGCAACCCCAGAGTCGGCCACGACTGGACCTAATGGTCAGGGGTCCCTTTACCTTTTTATGGACAGATTAACAACTGCTTGCATTTACAAATTAACCTGGCTATCCCAATAGGATGCACTGGAACCCTTCTTAATTTAAGATTTTCACCTTTCCAAGCCTGTATTTCCTAACTTGCTGCATTTGCCCTGACGTCCAAGCACCATGGAGAACACGTCCGTGCATCTGTCTATTTGAAATGCTTATGAAAATATTCCCTATTACAGTAGAACCTCTACTTACATCCCACTCTACTTAGGCCCGTTCCAAGTCGTAACCACAGCAAACCCAGATTTAAACACCAGGTTTGCTGCGATTCGCGCATGCGCAGAATCAGCCGCCACCAAATGCGCCTGCACACAACAGCGCTTCTACCAGCGACCCGTTTCGCCATAAGAACGGGCCTCCGGAACGGATTGTGGTCGTGAGTAGAAGTTCCACTGTAATTACTTTGGAGCTTTTGTTGTACAGTGGTAACTCGGGTTAAGAACTTAATTCATTCCGCAGGTCCGTTCTTAACCTGAAACTGTTCTTAACCTGAGGTACCACTTTAGCTAATGGGGCCTCTCGCTGCCACGCGGTTTCTGTTCTCATCCTGAAGCAAAGTTCTTAACCCGCAGGTGCTATTTCTGGGTTAGCGGAGTCTGTAACCTGAAGCGTCTTTAACCTGAAGTGTCTGTAACCCGAGGTACCACTGTATATCTTGTATGATAATGTTTTTTACTCCCCCCACGGTATTATGTATTTGTGCACGAGTTTTGAATGCATTTTCTTTTGCACACCACTTTTGAGTACAAATTTGTAGAAATATATACTCAAAAATCAACTAACGAGAAGGTTTCCGATTCTGTTCAAACACCTGCATTGCAATTACTTGCAACATAATGTAAAACTGCCAGCGCAACTGCATACAGTGGACGCTCGGGTTCCGTACGGGATGCACGTTCACAACCCGTAGCAATCGCAACCCGCAGCAGTGCGTCTGTACATGCGTGGGTTGCGATTTGGCGCATCTGCGCATAGTGCGATTTAGCACTTCTACACATGCGCGACCCCCGAGAACTGGAAGTAACCCGTTCTGGTACTTCCAAGTTTTGGCGGGTCCATAACCCGAAAACACGCAACCTGAAGCATCTGTAACCCAAGGTATGACTGTACTTATACTGCAAAGGTAAAGGTAAAGGGACCTCTGACCATTAGGTCCAGTCATGGCCGACTCTGGGTTGCGGCGCTCATCTCGCTTACTGGCCGAGGGAGCCGGCGTACAGCTTCCGGGTCATGTGGCCAACATGACTAAGCCGCTTCTGGCAAACCAGAGCAGCATACGGAAACGCCGTTTACCTTCCCGCCGCAGTGGTACCTATTTATCTACTTGCATTTTTTTGGTGTGCTTTTGAACTGCTAGGTTGGCAGGAGCAGGGACCGAGGAACGGGAGCTCACTCCGTCACGGGGATTCGAACTGCCGACCTTCTGATCGGCAAGCCCTAGGCTCTGTGGTTTAACCCAGAGCGCCACCCGCGTCCCATCTTATACTGCAAAACCATAACCTAAAAAGGCGGCCTACCTTTCTTTTATTGTGATACGTGATGTAAACAACAGCTACCAAAAAGGCCACGATAACCAGATGGAAAAAGAAATGGCTATCCTCTTCCAGTTCCGAGGAAGAGGTGTCCTTCATCTCATCAGGAAGCAATTTCTTGTTTTCATAGCTGTGCATGCTGGCCAACTCTTCCGTAAACTCCGAGATGCCTTGGTCGTCTTGATCGTCAGACGGCATCCCGTAGGGGCCGTAATAGTCTGCAGGGTCTGCGGTTCCTTTGGCCGTTGGGAGGAAGCTGGCCACGTGCTCTTTGTCCACCGCGTCGTCCACCGTGTCATCTTCGTTAATATTGGTATCTTCCGAAGTATCAGCATCTGTTTGCAAAGTAGGAGTCGCAGAAGCCGGCGCCGCAGAGGTTGCCTGCTTCCCTTCTGTAGCAGTTGGCCCAGGCGACACAGAAGCCCCGCTCTTCGGAGATGTTGGTGGCATGCCTTCATTTGTTGTCGTCCTTGTTCTGTCCTCACTGGCTTTTGAAACAGGCGTTAAGTTGTGAGTCGTGGAACTGGATGTCGAGACATTTACACTCTCAGAAAGCTCTGCCTCGGTTGTAGTGCCTGGGAAAAGGAAATAAAAATCAGGATAATCTGGAGTTTTGAACAAAGGTTCTCAAGGTGTATCTTGATTTCACGAGGGATGTCAATGATAGTACAGTGGTACCTCGGGTTAAGTACTTAATTCGTTCCGGAGGTCTGTTCTTAACCTGAAACTGTTCTTAACCTGAAGCACCACTTTAGCTAATAGGGCCTCCTGCTGCTGCCGTGCCGCTGGAGCACGATTTCTGTTCTCATCCTGAAGCAAAGTTCTTAACCCGAGGCAATATTTCTTGGTTAGCGGAGTCTATAACCTGAAGCGTATGTAACCCGAGGTACCACTGTATTTATTTACAGTGGCACCTTGGTTTGCGGACTTCATTCGTTCCGGAAGTCCGTTCTTAAACCAAAGCATTCTTAAACCAAGGCGTACTTTACCAGAGCAGCAGGGGACTCAATTTACAAATGGAACACACTCAACATGTTCTGCTTCCAAGGCAAAGTTCACAAACCAAAACACCTACTTCCGGGTTTGCAATCCCCTGCTATTGGTTCAATTGTTGCTATTATAAACTGGGCAACGTTTAATGAAGCCCATCTACCTGAGCAACAAAAATCAGCTCGTTAAACAGGACACCTGCTTTCTCTCTCCCCCACAAGCACCCCAAAATCTGCTCCACAGGCTCCTTCTCAGACACTTTGCATCGTCGCCATGTCTTTACGTGCAAACCACCTACCTGTTTGTTTCCTGCAAACCAAAGTTCATTCTTGCCTTGCCATTCACGTTTGGAGAGAAACAAACCACGATCCCAGGTTTAGTGCCTGGAGGCAGTTGGAGGATGGATGGCGGCTAACAGATTGAGGCTGAATCCTGACAAGACAGATGTACTGTTTTTGGGGGACAGGGGGCGGGCGGGTGTGGGGGATTCCCTGGTCCTGGATGGGGTCACTGTGCCCCTGAAGGACCAGGTGTGCAGCCTGGGAGTCATTTTGGACTCTCCACTGTCCATGGAGGCGCAGGTTAATTCTGTGTCAAGGGCAACTGTCTCCCAGCTCCATCTGGTACACAGGATGAGACCCTACCTACCCGCGGACTGTCTGGCCAGAGTGGTGCATGCTCTAGTTATCTCCCGCTTGGACTACTGCAACGCGCTCTACGTGGGGCTACCTTTGAAGGTGACCTGGAAACTGCAATTAATCCAGAATGCAGCAGCTAGACTGGGGACTGGGAGTGGCCGCCGGGACCGCATAACACCAGTTCTGAGAGATCTGCATTGGCTCCCAGTACGTTTCCGAGCACAATTCAAAGTGTTGGTGCTGACCTTTAAAGCCCTAAACAGCCTCGGTCCAGTATACCTGAAGGAGCGTCTCCACCCCCATCGTTCAGCCCGGACACTGAGATCCAGCGCCGAGGGCCTTCTGGCAACTCTCTCCCTGTGAGAAGCCAAGGGAACCAGGCAGAGGGCCTTCTCGGTGGTGGCGCCCGCCCTGTGGAACACCCTCCCTTCAGATGTGAAGGAAATAAGCAGCTATCCTATCTTTAAAAGACATCTTAAGGCAGCCCTGTTCAGGGAAGTTTTTAATATTTAACGCTGTATTGTTTTAAACACTTGGTTGGGAGAGCCGCCCAGAGTGGCTGGGGAAACTCAGCCAGATGGGCGGGGTATAAATAATAAATTATTATTATTATTATTATTATTATTATTATTATTAAGGCAGAATGAAAAGAAGGAGCGTGGATTATTTCCTGACAGCACAGGGAGAAATGAACTGCGTGTGATCTCAGCTGCACGCTGCATGCGCCCATTGTCCATTGCTTATTTTAACTAGGGTTCAACGCGATGCACAAGCCGAGTCAAAGAGTCACACTGAACAGGGACAGTTGTCGCATTACAGCCAAAGCCGTTCTTTGTCGTTTGAACAAATAATGAAGAGTTCGCGGAGAGAGACAGCACACCAAATGAATGAGAGTGCGGCAGCCTGTCTCAACACTGTGATTTGAGGTGCCAACGTCAACAGAGCAGCTCTGGCGTATTGCTCAAGAGATCAGCTGAGCGTATGACCATGCGCTTAAGAAGGACACTGACAAACTGGAACGTGTCCAGAGGAGGGCAACCAAAATGGTCAAAGGCCTGGAAACGATGCCTTATGAGGAACGGCTAAGGGAGCTGGGCATGTTTAGCCTGGAGAAGAGGAGGTTAAGGGGTGATATGATAGCCATGTTCAAATATATAAAGGGATGTCACATAGAGGAGGGAGAAAGGTTGTTTTCTGCTGCTCCAGAGAAGCGGACACGGAGCAATGGATCCAAACTACAAGAAAGAAGATTCCACCTAAACATTAGGAAGAACTTCCTGACAGTAAGAGCTGTTCGAGAGTGGAATTTGCTGCCAAGGAGTGTGGTGGAGTCTCCTTCTTTGGAGGTCTTTAAGCAGAGGCTTGACAACCATATGTCAGGAGTGCTCTGATGGTGTTTCCTGCTTGGCAGGGGGTTGGACTCGATGGCCCTTGTGGTCTCTTCCAACTCTATGATTCTATGATTCTATGATTCTAAGTAGGAATGCACAGATTTGGGGGCAAATAACATGCAGTGAAATAATGTTAACTATGGAAAAATACAAGGGCTTTTCACCAAGGCAGGGTGACACTGGCTTGAGCTGCCACGATGCAAGCTGGAAAAGTCTCGTGGCGCCTGTTGCTCAAGGTATCTCCCGCCTTCCCCGCACTCCATGTTGATGCAATTCTGCCACCTGAAAAGTTAATGATTGGCTCTGAATTGGGGGGTGCGGAGCCTAGGCAGGGACTGTGCTGTTCAATGGGCTTTCCAATGCTGTGTGTTGCTGCCCGTTCCTGAAAGGAAAGGCAGCAGGGAGCTTGGCACAGCGTGGGAGCAACTGGGAGCAGCAGGGTACCAGGTTGGCTTTGGTGCGATGCCAGCCCTGAGCACCCCACTGCCTTGACCCTCCCTCTCTGTGCCCAGTGTTATTGCAAGATCACCTCACCCCAAAAATGCCCACGCAACTGCTTCGATCTGCAGAACTGGCTCTGTTACAGGTGCCACACAATACCCATTCTGCGTTGGTAAGAAATCAATCTTTTACTGTGTCAGCACCTACACTTTGGAACTCCCTGCCTATTGACACCTTCCCTATACAGTGGTACCTCGGTTTACATACACTTCAGGTTACATACTCCGCAAACCCAGAAATAGTACCTTGGGTTAAGAACTTCAGGATGAGAACAGAAATCGCACAGCAGTGGTGCGGCAGCAGCAGGAGGCCCCATTAGCTAAAGTGGTGCTTCAGGTTAAGAACAGTTTCAGGTTAAGAACAGACCTCCGGAACGAATTAAGTACTTAACTCAAGGTGCCACTGTATACTCTTTTCAGCGCCTGCTAAAAGCTTTTTCGTTTACACAAGCATATCCTCTTTCCTTTCTGAGCAAGCAAGTCGCTCGTGAAAAATTCTCTTATTCAAGCAGAAAGAACAATGAGGCAATGCAGTTTAGCAACACCATGCCTAGCTATCCTCCTTTATAAAATATTATATAGTGGTACCTCGGGTTAAGAACGTAATTTGTTCCAGAGGTCCGTTCTTAACCTGAAACTGTTCTTAACCAGAGGTACCACTTTAGCTAATGGGGCCTCCCGCTGCTGCCATGCAATTTCTGTTCTCTTCCTGAATCAAAGTTCTTAACCAAAGGTACTATTTCTGGGTTAGTGGAGTTTGTAACCTGAAGCGCCTGTAACCCGAGGTACCACTATATACAGCTACATCTTTTTATATCTAGCAGTAAAATATAAAACTACAATAAAAACCACAAAGAAGTTGAAAACAGACATCAATTAACCACTGTAGAAGGGTGTATTCTTAATTGCCTGCCAGGGTTTGGCAGAAATGAAGTTTTCAGCAAGAGTTTAAAAGCTAGCACAGAAGGCATTCTTGCAACAAAAGAAGACAAAATAACCAGATAGAGTAGCAACACTCTTCTGGATTACAAAATCAGGAAGAACAAGCCCCAAGACAACGGCATAGGGCGAGGGAAAACGGTTGAGTATCCGATCAACATTAGCAAAATATACCATCTGAGCATAATTTCAGAGACCTCTTCTTCAAGGAAAGCTCCAGGTGTAAATCAGAATTAAAGAAAACGTCTGATATTTGGAATACGCACGGGCCAAAAATGGCCCAACATCACTTCCACTTTTTATAGCAACTTGACGTAGGGGACAGACCTCACTGGAAAAAACTAGAAGGCTTGGCATTCAAAGTACTGGACTGAAAAAACCCTCCTTTCCTCTTGGGAATAAAAATGTTAACAAGCCAGTCAGGGTATACCAAAGGAGCAGCTGAACAGACGGTTCCTTGTTTGTACGGCACACCCTTCCCTATATGAAGCAGACGTTAGAATTTAGAACAGGAACCCAAGTCACACGGATGTTGAGCAAACTGTACGCAATAATTTAGGTAAAAGAGACTTTGGGTGCTGGAATTTTTGATCTTATGGAAACCTTAAGGCAAGCATAGCAAATTGAGGGAAGGTGCTTTAAATAAGGCTAGACAAACACGAGGCAGGATTCCGGTAGGAAAAGAAGCCTATGATGGCTGGGAGATCCTGCAGAAAGGAGTTGTTGTTTAGTCGTTTAGTCGTGTCCGACTCTTCGTGACCTCCTGGACCAGAGCACGCCAGGCACTCCTGTCTTCCACTGCCTCCCGCAGTTTGGTCAAACTCATGCTGGTAGCTTCAAGAACACCATCCAACCATCTCGTCCTCTGTCGTCCCCTTCTCCTTGTGCCCTCCATCTTTCCCAACATCAGGGTCTTTTCCAGGGAGTCTTCTCTTCTCATGAGGTGGCCAAAGTCTTGGAGCCTCAGCTTCAGGATCTGTCCTTCCAGTGAGCACTCAGGGCTGATTTCCTTCAGAATGGAGAGGTTTGTTCTTCTTGCAGTCCATGGGACTCTCAAGAGTCTCCTCCAGCACCAGAATTCGAAAGCATCAATTCAAAAGCATCAAAGCAGAAAGGAGAATTAATGTTAAAGACATCAGAAGTTAAAGTGGGGCAACTGAAAAAGCTGGTGTGGCTGCAGGAAAAGCTCAGTGGTGAGCTGAAAATAAAACCAGACACATCTAGGAAATGGAAGGAAGGACAAAGCAGAATAGGGAACAGTAGCCAGGACTTCTAGGGACAGGAAAGCAGAAGATCAGAGTCACAAGGTGGTTGAGAAACTGTACTCAAAGGTTGCCCATCAATGGCTCCTTGCCAAATTGGAGGTTTGAAGTGCAATGCCACAGGGATCTACCCTGGGCCTGGGACACCTCAACTGTTCTTCATCAATGACTTGTTGAAAGGGTGGAAGGAATGCTTAACAAATTAGCAGAAGACACAAAATGGGGAAGGAACGGCCAACGCCTCCGAAGACAAGAATAAAATTCCAAATGACCCTGAGGGAATGGAAGACTAGGCTGAAACCCAACAGCAACAAATTGAAAAGATCAGCATTTGGGAAAACAAACAAACCAAAGCCAGACAAATGTAGGATGGGAGATACCTGGCTTAATTTGACAGCGGTATATGTAAAAAAGGATCATGGGATTGAAGCAATTGAGCCAGCCAATTGCTGCAGCTGCAAAAAAGAGAGAGGTTTCACTGATTTTAAGGCCGCACTAGAAAAATAATCATTTCCAGATCATGAACCTTTTTTCTGCATGACCTATTGTGGAGCAAGGTGCCAAGTTTAATATGTCAAAATGGCTCAGTGGACTGCAGACAGGTAGACAGAGGTAGAGAAAACATGTGCGGTTAAGGAGTGTTACAGAAATTGACCATGTTCAGCCTGGAGAAAAGAAGTCAGAGAGAACAGGATTGATCCCACCTCCAGTATTTTCAAGACTGCAGTCAGAAAGAAGGCAAAGACTTCTTGTCCATTTCCCAAAGGACAGATTTAGTAGATTTTGCTTCAACATTAGGAGAAAATAAGATTGTGGCTGAACATTAGGAGACATTTCCAAACCATAAGAACAATTCGCTTCTGATGTAGGATGTTGTCTGAATCGTTAAAGGAAATCTTTCTTATCCAGGAACTTTGTTTCTTATTCATTACAAAGGAGTATTGCTTATGAGTGAAGGTACATGAAAAGTCCCCAAAATCTATGACTTCTGATTAAGCTATACTGCTAAAACCGCTGACTGGACCAGCCTTAGGAAGAGCGAAGAGCAACTTTGTCCTGTGAGGAGGACGGACTCACTTGGCAGGGGGTTGGACTCGATGGCCCTTGTGGTCTATTCCAACTCTATGATTCTATGATAAACCAAATGTATTTTGGAACGTTGATAATGAAAATGTTAAGTAAAAATGGGAAGTTAACATGATGCTCACAATACAAACAAAGTAAGGCAGGCATTTGCGTATTTCCCATGTAGTCAAAGCAGTGTCTATGAAAGAGAGAGCCGCTTTTTACACCCAACAGATACCTGATATATTGAGACATGTGGTATTTAGCTGTGTCAGTCTGCAAGGATAACAAATGCTCCCTTCCGCCTCTCCTTTCCCCTGCAGCACAGGGTGGGGAGGAAATTAACACTTCAAGTCACCCAAATGATCTGTTTCCTTGTGTCACTAACAGCCGAAACCTAGAGCATGCAGGTTTATCAGAAGGAAGCCCCACTGCACTCTCTGGCACTTAGTCCCAGCTCCATGAATATAGCATTGCAGACTTAAGGAACTTCTTTCTGTGTGTGTGTGCCTGTTGTTCATGGTGGGAAATTCAACTAGGAAAGCATATATAAAACAAGCAGATCAGGCTGCAACAGGTCTCTCCACTGAGGCAGATAATTATTAAATAAACTGCTAACTCTAAAGTTATGGCTTGTATTGAATAATACAGCAGTAGTGGTTAGAGTGTTGGACTAGGACCTGGGAGACCCGGGTTTGAATCCCCACTCGGCCATGAAGCTTTACTAGCTGATCTTGAGCCAGCCATCGCCTCTCTGCCTAACCTACTTCACTGGGTTGTTGTGGGGATGTAAGCGAGATTTACGCCATCTTGAGCTCCTTGGAGGAAAAGTGGGGTACAAGTGTAATAAATAAGCCAAGGTAGAGCCCGAGGTGTGAGGCTCCACTTTCAGACCACTTTAAACCATCATGGTTCGCCCCCTCCAAGAATTCTGGGAGCTGTCATTTTTTAGGGTGCTGAGTGGTGTTAGTTGCTACAATTCGCAGAACGGTTTAACAATTAACACTTCTTCCCTGGGAAGAAACTTGTCCCCTAACAACTCTCAGGGCCCTTGGTGAACTAAACCACACAGGATTCTTTGGAGAAAACCAGGATGGTTTAAATTTTAAAGGCTGGTATCCTAGTGCTTTAAATGTATGGTGTGTGGATGGGGAAGGGGGAGGAGGAGATGAAGATGAAGATGAAGAAGGGGAGGAGGAGAGATGGAATAAGAGAGAGAGGAGGAGGAGGAGGAGGAAGAGAGAGGAGAGGAGGAAAAAGAAAAAGTGGAAGAAGAGAAGGAAGAAGAGAAGAAGAAGAGAGAAGGAAGTAGAAGAGAGAGGAGGTGAAGAGGAAGAAGAAGTGGAATAAGAGAAGAAGAAGGGAAAGGAGAGAAAGAGGAAGAAGAAAAGGAAGAAGAGAAGAAGAGAGGAGGGGAAGAGGAAGAAGAAGAAAAAGTGGAATAGGAGAAGAAAAAGAGAGAGAAGGAAGAAGAAGAGTAGAAGAGAAGGAAGAAGAGGTGGAAAAGGAAGAGGAATAATAATAATAATAATATTTATACCCCACCCATTTGGCTGGGCTTTCCCAGCCACTCTGGGTGGCTTACAGCGTATCTGAAAACAGCATAGTGTATATAAAAACCAGCAGGAAGAGAGAAGAGAGGAGAAGTGGAATAAGGGAAGAGAAGAAGAAGAAGAAGAGAAGGAAGAAAAGGAGAAGAACAGAGAGGAGGGGAAGAGGAAGAAGAAGTGGAATAGGAGAAGAGGAGGAGGAGAGAGAAGGAGGAAGAAGAGTAGAAGAGAAGGAAGAAGAGGTGGAAAAGGAAGAGGAATAATAATAATAATAATAATAATAATAATAATAATAATATTTCTACCCCACCCATTTGGCTGGGCTTTCCCAGCCACTCTGGGCGGCTTACAGCATATCTGAAAGCAGCATACTGTATATAAAAACCAGCAGGAAGAGAGAATAGAGGAGAAGTGGAATAAGGGAAGAGAAGAAGAAGAAGAAGAGGAGAAGAACAGAGAGGAGGGGAAGAGGAAGACGAAGTGGAATAGGAGAAGAAGAGGAGGAGGAGAGAGAAGGAAGAAGAGTAGAAGAGAAGGAAGAAGAGGTGGAAAAGAAAGAGTAATAATAATAATAATAATAATAATAATAATATTTATATTTGTTGTTGTTTAGAACAGAGAGGAGGGGAAGAGGAAGAAGAAGTGGAATTGGAGAAGAGGAGGAGGAGGAGAGAGAAGGAAGAAGAACAGTAGAAGAGAAGTAAGAAGAGGTGGAAGAGGAATAATAATAATAATTATATTATTATAATTATACCCCACCCATTTGGCTGGGCTTTCCCAGCCACTCTAGGCAGTTTACAGCATATCTGAAAGCAGCATAGTGTATATAAAAACCAGCAGGAAGAGAGAAGAGAGGAGAAGTGGAATAAGGGAAGAGGAGAAGAAGAAGAGAAGGAATAAGAGAAGAAGAAGAGAGAGGAGGGAAAGAGGAAGAAGAAGTGGAATAGGTGAAGAAGAGGAGGAGGAGGAGGAGGAGGAGGGGTGGAAGAAGAGAAGAGGGGAGAGGAAGGGGAAAGAGGGGGGATGTTCCTGCAGCCCCTTCGGATCGGGACCCCGAGGCCTCCCTCCTCCTCCTCCTCCCTCCTCACCGTTCTCGCTCTGGCCCGCCACCGCCAGGGCCCCGTCCAGCACCAGCAGCAGCGCCAGGAGGAGGAGAGCGGCCCTTCCCGAGAGCGGCATGGCCGGCCCGGCGCCTCCTTCCCCTTCTCCTTCTCCTCGCCTCCTGCGCCTCCGCCTCCTTCGCCCGGCGGCCGCCATCTTGGCTGACCAGCCTCGGCCGAGGATGTGGCGTCCGCCGCCCGCCCCGCCCACGCGCTGCTAGGCAACCGCATTCCGCAGCAGCGCGCGGCGTCGTGACGTCGCCTCGGCCCCGCCCCCGCCCCTCAGGCATGCGCAGGAAAGGGAGACGCGCGGGAAGGCTGAGATTCTCCTCAGTCGAGCAAATGTCTCTTGTGGGGAAACACCAGAGCGGGAGCCAGTGTGGGATTTACGTAGAAACTGAATAAGCTGTAGCTCAGGGCCCCACTCATTGGGGGCCCCAAAAAATTAAAAGGGGGGGGGGAAAGGATGTGCATTTCCAAAATATAAGATAAAAAATGAAATAAAAAACAAAATAAAATAATAAAATAAAATGGACTCACAGCTGTCCATGGAGGCGCAGGTCAATTCTGTGTCCAGGGCAAAAAACAAAAAAAAAAGGATGTACCTTTTCATAATAATAATGATAATAATAATAAAAAATTTTATTTATACCCCGCCCTCCCCAGCCAATGCCGGGCTCAGGACGGCTAACAAGCAATAATAAAAAGTTGAATGAATACAACTTAAAAACAAGATTAAAATACAACATTGAAACATTAAAACCTCCCCACCTGGGAGTCATAAAGGTAAAGGTACCCCTGCCCGTACGGGCCAGTCTTGACAGACTCTGGGGTTGTGCGCCCATCTCACTCAAGAGGCCGGGGGCCAGCGCTGTCCGGAGACACTTCCGGGTCACGTGGCCAGCGTGACAAAGCTGCATCTGGCGAGCCAGCGCAGCACACGGAACGCCGTTTACCTTCCCGCTAGAAAGCGGTCCCTATTTATCTACTTGCACCCGGGGGTGCTTTCGAACTGCTAGGTTGGCAGGCGCTGGGACCGAGCAACTGGAGCGCACCCCGCTGCGGGGATTTGAACCGCCGACCTTTCGATCGGCAAGCCCTAGGTGCTGAGGTTTTACCCACAGCGCCACCGGCATCCCATCTGGGAGTCATAGCTGGACTCATAGCTGTCCGTGGAGGTGCAGGTCAAGTCTGTGTCCAGGACGGCTGTCTACCAGCTACATCTGGTACGCAGGGTGAGACCCTCCCTGCCCTTAGTGTGTCTCGCCAGAGTGATGCATGCTCTGGTTATCTCCCGCTTGGACTACTGCAATGTGCTCTACGTGGGGCTACCGTTGAAGGTGACCCAGAAACTACAACTAATCCAGAATGCGGCAGCTAGACTGGTGACTGGGAGCGGCCGCTGAGACCATATAACACTGGTCTTGAAAGACCTACATTGGCTCCCAGTATGTTTCCAAGCACAATTCAAAGTGTTGGTGCTGACCTTGAAAGCCCTAAATGGCCTCGGTCCAGTATACCTGAAGGAGCGTCTCCACCCCCATCGTCCAGCCCGGACACTGAGATCCAGAACCGAGGGCCTTCTGGCAACTCTCTCCCTGTGAGAAGCCAAGGGAACCAGGCAGAGGGCCTTCTCGGTGGTGGCACCCGCCCTGTGGAACGCCTTCCCCTCAGATGTCAAATAGAAGAACAACTACCAGGCTTTTAGAAGACATCTGAAGGCAGCCCTGTTTAGGGAAGCTTTTAATGTTTAATAGGTTATTGTATTTTAATATTCCATTGGAAGCCGCCCAGAGTGGCTGGAGAAACCTAGCCAGATGGGCAGGGTATTATTATTATACAGCAACAGTCTTTTGTGTTGTGTAGGCTCCTATGATGTAAGTCACTGCCCCGCTTGCTAGCCTGCTCCCTAAAATATCACCGATTTGCTCATTTCTATATATAGGGTGCCTACATTCTGCATGGATTTGTTGCATGGCAACATGTGCAAAATAATAATAATTATAATAATAATAATAATAATTTATACCCCACCCATCTGGTTGGGTTTCCCCAGCCACTCTGGGCGGCTTCCAACGGAATATTAAAATACAATAACCTATTAAACATTAAAAGCTTCTCTAAACAGGGCTGCCTTCAGATGTCTTCTACAAGTCTGGTAGTTGCTCTTCTCTTTGACATCTGGTGGGAGGGCGTTACACAGGGCGGGCGCCACCACCGAGAAGTATGACTTTAGATCATAGCTGTCAAACTTCCATTTTTTTGCAGGAAATTCCCTTATTCCAGCGCTGTTTCCCACTGCTTCCCGCTGCTATCCCGGATTGCTAGATATTTTTGAGGCTGCTGATCCCTTATTTTCAAATCAGAAAGTTGACAGCTATGCTTTAGATACCAGCGTTGTGAGGGAGAGAACCTTTTCCGCATCAACTTCTATAATGCCTCCTCTTTTTCGCCTTTTTAGCTAAGAGAAAAAAGCGAGGGAAAGGTGACCTGATAGGTGTTTGGGAGAGAAGTCCCAAACGCTGCAACCTTTCTTCACTCCCATCCCCTGGATCGTTTGGGTTGCACTTTTCTGAACCTTTTCCAACTGTTATGTCATCCTTTTTGAGGTGAGGCAACCTCATTCCTCTGCATGCAGTTTCTCTGCACCCCAGCAGTGTGTGTGTGTGTGTGTGTGTGTGTGTGTGTGTGTGTGTAGATAGAGAGATAAATATTTAGTTGCCAATTTAGGATACCACTTCATACATGTGCAGGAAGTCAGCGCGGTCCATGAAACCTCCTGCTCACAATAACTTTCTTAGCCTTCACGGTGCCAAAAAACTCTCTGCTGGGTTTGCTGCAGCAGATTAACATGGCTACTCTTCTGCACAAATCATGGCGTCCCATCTTTCTATCTGTAGGGAATTTCCAGATTTACACTGGATAATTTCTTTTATTGCTGCACCAGGAAATTTGGACTTTAACAGTTCCTCTATTTGTTTGTTTTTAACCCATCTAAAAGGAACTCACAGTAAAAAAAACCGGTTGGCATCCATCCCTGCGTTCATAGAATCATAAAAGTTGAACAGTACCCAAAGGATTATCTAGTTCAAGTCCTTGCAATATGGGCTGAGGATGGTGTTGTTGTAAACCTAGTAAAGGTAAAGGGACCCCTGACCGTTAGAGCTTCCGGGTCATGTGGCCAGCATGATTAAGCCGCTTCTGTACTTAATTGCAAACATGTAGAGCAGCACTTGGAATTCCCTTATCCGATGTAAAGTTGAATTTTGCCCCCCCCTCCCAACTTCACTGCATGTTGACACCTTCTAATTTTCTGCCTTCCTGAAGGAGGTACGTGTGGAAGTATCAGCTTTGCACATTATTATTGCCTCTCAACGCAGAAGCCACCGTGAGACATTATGGCCCCCAAATCATGTCTTACCAAATGGAATCATTTCCCCACCTTTGGGAAAACATCCTTAGGCATCACTTGCAAGATGTGGCCATCAATAGCTTACAGAATAAATACTGTTATGAGTTGTGGGTGCCAGATTCCCTTCAATTTGTGGGTCTTAGAATTTAATCCACGCTTGGAGTGTTAAAATTCAGGTGTTGGATTTAGCCAAGCATTAAAAAGACAAGCCAAACCGGTTTCCACCGTGTCCAGAAAATCAGTGAGCCCTTAACCAAAGACAAGGGGAATGCAGTGGACCGTTTTAAAAGGCGGAGACAGGGGCCCCACCCTGAACTTTGAGTTAGTTAGCAGAGTTCAGTTTAGGATTGCAGTTGTGGGTGATGTAGGCTGGAGGAAAATAGTTGCGGCCTGAAAGCGGTGGCAAGGTTGAGAGCGGGGGTCAGTGCACAATGTGAGCTGACTGTCTGAATCTGAGGCTGCAGCAATAGGAGAAACAGGACCCTCTTGGAGTGTGAATGCTGTGGACTCCTCCATCGTAGGCTCAGGCTGTATATATGTGTAAATAAATCATACATCATGAAGACACCACAGTCTCTGCAGTGCCTTCAAACCATGAGTAATCTCCTGGAATCTCTCACCATTCATAGATTGGGGTGGCACATAACAATAGACTTAGTTTAGCATTAGCCGCTCGCCAGCACAAACTGGGAACCACAAATGCTGATGGACTCTAGCTGTCGTAAATGCAGGTTTTTGATTTTCGGAAATCACTTTGAGATGGTTGTTTTTAACAATCGAGGGGTGTATAAACTTTTAGATGTTTTTAGCTTTCTGTATTTTATCTGTGTTGTAGGTTGTGTAAGCGTGTCTGAGAAAAAGTCAACACTAATAATAATAATAATAATTCTTATTCAACAATGCCTCAGCTGATGAGTTGCCGAGATCACGCTGCTCATGAGGGTGCTTAAAGTCTCTGGCTATTACTCAACCTGAATTTATAGGTATGTGACTGAATCCCACCTGAAAATAGTGAATCTGGAAGCAGCCCTCTAGCAAACCTGTCTCCATTGTGTCTGTTTGTTGCCTTCTCTCTCATTTACAACAGAAAGCAGAGACCAAACAAGGAATGTCCTTTTTTATCTTTTTGTAGAGAAAATAAGATAGCCCTTTATCTTGTTATGGCTTTGCCAAGGGTGACAACAACGTCCTGTATTTACAGATTTAAACAGAGCGGCATCGCAGGCACACAAAGCAGGTCCAGCTGTTTTCAACACAGGCCAGTCCTTTCGTGGCAGCTCGTAAAGAGTGGAGGAGACCTAAAGTTCCACCGAAGAGACAGTTACATGGGCATCATCGTGGGTGAGAAGAGATGACCTCTAGGGGCCTCTGGCTGGCAAGAGTTTGCTACGTCTGTTACCTCTTCAGCAGGTCTATTCCTCACTCCCTCCTGAAAGTGTTCAAACAAACATCATTTCGAGGGGCAAACCTGGCCAGGTGTAAAGCGCGAGACCCCTGGGATTCCCCGATGACTCCCTCCCTCCATAGGGCGCTCTGGGTGGGCTTGGCTTAGGTCCGGTCCTGCTTCTGTTGCCTCAGCGCTTGCAGGAAGATATCTTTCACCTGCCCCACCGTCTCCTGGTACAGCCGGAAGTCTTCCTCTTTGGTCTTCGCAGAGTCCTGCAAAGCCATCTTCAGGCTTTCGTTCTCGTCCATCTGGATCGCAAGCCTGCAAGGACAAAAATCGGTCATCGGACGTCGCGAAGAACTTACAAGCTGGGAAAGCAAGGCAGCCTCTTCCA